TCACTGTGAAGAAGCGCTAAATAGGGTTTTACGATTACCATCAGTAGCGAGTAAAAGATATTTAACTAATAAAGTAGATAGATGCGTAACTGGATTAATCGCTCAACAACAATGTGTGGGACCTCTGCATACTCCTTTAGCTGATGTTGCGGTTACTGCCGTTTCCCATTTCAATTTGGTAAATTTAATTTTAATAAAATAATTATAAAATTAAATTATAAAAGTAATATGTTAATCACACATTGGTTACTCCAATTGGATAGGAGGGTATAGCTACTTCGATTGGAGAACAACCAATTAAAGGACTTTTGTGTCCTAAAGCTGGTGCTCGAATGACCGTTGCTGAAGCTCTCACCAATTTAGTTTTTGCCAAAATTTCAAATTTAAAAGATGTCAAATGCTCAGGAAATTGGATGTGGGCTGCAAAATTACCCGGAGAAGGAGCAGCTTTAGTACAAGCATGCAAAGCGATGTGCGAAGTTATGAAAAAACTAGGAATTGCTGTGGATGGTGGCAAAGACTCATTGAGTATGGCAGCTCGTGTCGAGAGTGAAACAGTTAAAGCCCCAGGTTACTCATTTTAAAATAGGTATCATTTTAAAAAAAAAAAAGAAGCAAGTATGAGTTATTAATTTTCATTTTGTTCAGGAACTTTGGTCATTTCGACTTACGCTCCGTGTCCCGACATAAGAAACGTTATAACCCCTGATTTAAAAGTTTCAACGAATTCCATGTTGCTTTTTGTCGATTTATCTGGCGGAATGTCTCGTCTTGGAGGATCAGCTTTAGCTCAATGTTACGGACAACTTGGAAGTGAAGTTTCAGATTTAGATAATCCGGAACTTTTAAAATCTGCTTTCAACGTCACTCAAAAACTTATCCAAGGTCTCATAAAATTACATGAACCGAAATTATTTCGCCATTTTTTTTTTTCTTAATTAATACTCCTATAAAAAAATAATTTTCAGAAAACAAATTGTTGTCGGGGCATGATATCAGTGACGGTGGTTTAATAACTACCCTATTAGAAATGAGTTTCGGGGGTGTAATTGGAATTGATGTAAACGTCACTCATAAAACTACCGATCCGATATCGACATTATTCGCCGAAGAAGTTGGTTGGGTACTGGAAGTTGATAACGAAAATAATGGCTACGTATTAAATGAATTTAAAATGGCGAACGTTCCTTGTTACGTAGTAGGACGTACTTGTGGTTTCGGAATGAATTCACCGGTGATTATTATTAATATTAATAAAAAAAAATCTAATAATAATGATTATTGTATTACTTATAAATTTTAATTTACATTAAATGTAATTAAATAGATTGTCGTCAGGGTAAATAACAAACAAGTTCTTTCGAGCAAAGTCTATGACATGTATAAAATATGGGAAGAAACAAGTTACCGACTCGAACTTCGTCAAGCCTCACCGAAATGTGTTCAAGAAGAATTTAACGGTTTGAAACATCGTAAAGGACCAATATACAAATTGTCTTTTGATCCTTCGTCTCCTCTAAAACCATCGAGTAGATTGACAAGTGGTAAGAAAAAGAATAACGTAATTCGTAACGTTTTTACTCTTGATTTATACATAATAAAAAAAAAATTTATATTTTCGTTCAGCACCGAGGGTAGCCGTTATAAGAGAAGAAGGATCGAATGGAGATCGTGAAATGGCGGCTTCTTTATTTCAAGCCGGTTTTGAAGTTTGGGATGTTACAATGCAAGATTTATTAAATAAGACTGTTACTGTCGATTATTTTAGAGGAATTATTTTCCCAGGTGGATTCAGTTACGCGGGTTAGTATAAATGATGATAATATTCTAAATAAAGTTGGGGGAGGAGGGGGGAAATAAGTTTAAGATAAAATTTAAAATTTTTTTTCAGATGTTATGGGTTCTGCAAAAGGATGGGCAGCAAGTTTATTATTTCATCCAAATCTGAAAGCTCAATTTAAAGCTTTTGCCGGTAGGAGCGACACGTTCAGTTTAGGTGTTTGTAATGGCTGTCAATTAATGTCACTGCTTGGTTGGATTGGAATCAGATCGCAAGATGGTAAGGAAAAAAAAAATTTTTTTTAATAAAATCACATAAAAATTTGGGATTTTTTTGTTGTTGTTGTTAGAAGACAAAGGATTATCTCAACCTGATCCCGAAATCGTATTGGATCATAATCTTTCTGAAAGATTTGAATGCAGGTTTACATCAGTGAAATTTATGGAAAGCCCTGCCATCATGCTCAAAGGCATGGCAGGAAGCGTATTTGGAGTGTGGGTGGCTCATGGTGAAGGACGTTTTACGATGAAAAATGAAAAAGTATATTTTTTAAATTAAGCTAATAATTATTCACATTTTCACATGAATTACAAACAAAAAAAAAAATATTTTTCGACAGGTTTTTAATGAACTATTGAGGAAAAATGCATTGGCAATAAGATATGTTGATGATAATGGTGAACCCACTGAAGTTTATCCAATGAATCCTAACGGATCTAAATTAGGTGTGGCTGGAATTTGTTCATTAGATGGACGTCATTTGGCAATGATGCCTCATCCTGAAAGATGTACTCAACTCTGGCAATGGCCTGTTTTACCAAACGAATTTAAAAACTTAACAGCATCACCCTGGTTAAGAATTTTCCAAAATGCTTTCGCTTGGTGCCATGAAAATCAAAATTAATGATTCGATTGTCATTAAACCGATTAATTAATTTGTAGCATAGATAGTTTGTACAGCAAAACCGATAATATATGAATAAAATTAACCATGAAATATTTATTGTTATTTTTATTAAAATTAAAATTAGTAATAATATACACCTATCGCTTTGAATTAAGATTACTTATATTTTGAATATTTGAAATGATAATACAATTTTGTTTGTTATATAAAATTTGCATTTAAAGCAAAGCAAACTTTAAAATTTTTCATTGAAAAATTATTATTTCTTATTAGAAAAGGTAATTTCCAACGGTTATAATTTTTATTAAAAATTATTCGAGTGTAGAATTTCACACAAAATGGATTAAATGGATTGAGTATAAAAATATTCTGTTTTGTAAAGTTTTATTAAAAATCAAAAGCACAAAAAAAAAAACGGTAAAATATTTTTAAAAATTATTTTTTTTATTTATTTATTACTACTACTTCACTATAAGAAATTACGAGAGAGAGAAAAAATTTAACGGATTTTACGATAGCAGAAGACAATTTAAAAATGGCTTGAAACCACGCATACCAAATACGCCACACGACTAGTTGGTAAATAATCGTACCAATAATAATATATATCCCGTTTTTAAATTTATTTAATTCATTAATTTAAATGAATTTTTATAAAATGTTTACTGAATTAATAAAAGAACAATATATTTTAAGGATTTTTTTTTAATTTGCCGGATTTTATTAGCTGTAACTAGCATCCAAAATATCCATATATAAAATCTGAATGCAAATTAAAATAGTTAGAATTTATAATAAAACAATGTAAGTTTTATTTTGACTATATAAATTGACTTATTAAATAAATTCTTTTTTTTTTTTTTAAATTTAATGGATTTTATTAAAAATCAATATTTATTAATTAAATCATTTATTAGGACACCAGTGGAAAAATTAATTTTTAATATAACTTTATAATAATTTTTTTTTTTTAAAAAAAAAGGGTTTTACCGCGGTGTAAAACAAGTTTTAAAGTGAATTATAAATACTATAATATTGTGTTTTTTTTATGAAATAATTATTTTACTACTTTTTTATTCAAGGGCTGCGTCATTTCCAGAGTACAAAAAATTTCATGTCAGTAGCACTGAAGAAAGAGACATGATGAAAGATCCAGCAAAAGTTACATGCAGAATTTTTGTTGGAAATTTACCAACTGATGATATGGAGAGGAAAGACTTAAAAGATTTGTTTAGTAAATTTGGTCTTGTTACAGGTATGAACTTAAAACTCATAAATAATAATATATATTTTCTTTTAGAGTTTTTATATGTATTATTTCATGGATTAAATAAAAATTATTTGTAGGAGTTTTACTGAATAGAGGTTTCGGTTTTGTGCAATTCGATAATGAAACGAGTGCAGCAGAAGCGATAAAAAGTAATGGAACTATTATGTTTAATGGTAAAAAAGTAGGTGAGTATAATTAAATTTTGTAATAACTTATCATACTATTGAAAAAGTATCAATTTTTTTTATATGCAAATAAAATCGAATTATAATTTTTACTTTTATTATTATTATTACGATTTATATTAAACTCGATTGTTCTTGTTTGGAAAACTTTCACACATTTATTAATTTTTAGATATTAGGCCTGCCAGAAGACATGGTTCAGATAAAAAAGAAGTAGAAAGAGATAGATCTCCAAATAGTGATTATTTTGATAGAGGAAGAGATGTTACAAGATATCCTGTCGATCCTAATGCTCCACCAGTTAGGTCATCAGTTCCTTTTAGGTAATACAAATTGTTAATTTTACCAATTTCAAATCTCAAACTAAAGATAATAATAATAATAAATTTTTTTTTCCAGAAGTGCATATCCTCCTTCGGCTTTAACTGATCGAGCCAATGACTGTGAAATAATAGTTATAAACAAAAAGCAAACGTTTGTATCACAGTATCGATGAAAAAAAAAAAAAAATTTACTTTAGAAATATTCTTTATAAAAGAAACTTTTTTTCCAGGGAATATGCAGAATCAATAGAAGTTAGATTAAAAAAATTAGGTTTAACAGTTGATTTATTATTTCCTAACGAAGAAGTACCCGTGACGAGAGTTTTAGCAAAAATAGCATCGAGAGGAAGTTTATACGCCATATTAATTATGCCACAAAATGAAGATCATCGGAGTTTAACATTAAATATTTTACACGGGCAACCTCAAGGTTTGTGTTAAAGATATGAATTTTAAATTCAAATAATTATTTATGACAATTTAAAATACTTAAGTTTTTAATGTTGAAAAATGACACAAACAAAAAAAAAAATACTTTTTTTTTATGTCTTCAAATTGTTCCAAACAATCGTCAAATGTGTCACACGGTTTTGATTTTTGCACATAATTATTAATTTTTTTTTTTTTAAAATGAAACCGCGGTGGTAACGTGAATCGGCCATTTTTAATTTACTTCCTATAAATAAAAAATAACGATAATTATTTTAATTAAAACGATGTCATTAATGACGTAATCGGCGGGTTTTTATTTAAACGGCGTTCGCGGTTTTTTTTTATTTTATTTTGTAAATTTTGTTTGTTTGTTTGTTTGTTTTTATTTTGTGAAAATTTTTTTATTATAAATGGTTGAATTTTGTGAATATTTTACCAGAACATAGAAATATGCCGCTTGAAGATGCCATTAATTTGCTAGCTAGAAATTTCGATGCGTATCTTCTACGCGAAAAGGCTAGCCGTCCATCTGAAGTTAACGTTGTGCCCGCGACGGGTCCACTTACCGCCATTAATTTAACCGACAGACATCCCGAAGCCATTCAAGTAAGTTTAATATTTTATAATGAATACGCGATAAAGCGACGTTTCGAAACATTTTACTCTTATTTATTTATTTATTTTGTTTATAAAAGAATAATAATATTATTATTGAAAAGGATTATAAATTATATGAAATTGTTTTTGTTTTTTTGTTTTTTTTGTGTGTTTTCTTCCACCCCCCCCCCCCCATATTTTTTCTTTTAGGAATCGTTTTTTTGTTTCATTGAAGAATAATTTGGATGTTCTTCCGGTAATAAATACTAATTATAATAATAACTAATAGATTAAATTTTGTTTTTTTACAGATTAATCAAAAGTAAGTCGTTAAAAAGTGAAAAAAAAAAATTTATTTTATATTGTTTGTCAACAGGTATTATTAAATCTTTTGGCGGATAATAGACAGTTGACGGTTCTTCAATACGATAAAGTAATATCGTACCTTCAAGGTAGAAAAGAACTTCAACTCAAAGTCGAACTCGGTGATACTTCATTGCCAACGACAACAAGTAATTATATTTTTATTTTATTTAAAAAAGATTAAAATTTTGGCCTTTTTTTCTTATTTGATGATTTTTTGTTGTTTTTGAAAAAGTTCCCAGCGTGTCTTTATCAACGGTCGACGGTCAAAAACAACAAGAACTTCAATCTAGAATATTAAACATTCTTAATAACAAAACGGCAAATTTAATACAACCGTCACCGTTAGTACAACAACAACAACAACAACCGACACCTACACAAACTCCAATTCTTAACGATCCAAATGTACAAAAAGTGCTGGATAGTTTAATGCAAAGTGATTTGTTACGTAAAATATCAGGAGGACCTTCACGATTTTAATATGAAAGAAAAAAATAATAAAAAATGGCGACAAAATGTTGTAATTTATTTGTTTTCTTTTATAATGAAAAAGATGTAATAAGGCAGATGCAGAGAGAGAGAGAGAGAGAGAGAGAGAGAGAGATTGTGTCATTTGGACAAAAATTTATACATAAATATAATTTGAAAATTTTTTTTTTATAAATATCTCCCTGTAAGAATAATATTTTAATTATTATTATCATTAATCAATGCGTTGATTGAAAAAAAAAAATTTTTTTAAAAAGAAAAACATTTTTGAATAAAGTAGATGATAAAAAAAAAAAAAAAGAAAATTTATTCACAAAAAGAAAAGGTAAATTTTGTACAAAAAAATTTTTTTTTTTTTTTTTTTCAATTCTTTTGTTTTGGTCTGGAAGTATCCCTTTCTCCAGCACTTTTAGATTTTTTCATTATTTTTTCTGAATCTTCCGTTATTTCGTTAACTTCTTTTAATTTATAAGCACTTTCCGGTTTTAAATTATTTTTTATATCAGGTTCGCGACTTCTCGACTGGAAAAAGGGAAAAATAATTTTTTTTAAATACGTTTGGGAAATTGTAAAAAGAAATTATTATTATTATTATTATTTACTTACTCTTCTTGGTTTTTTATTTTCCAAATCTCGATAAATTGATTTAATTTCATTTACTTGTATGAGTATGAGTTCCCAAAAACCTTGAAGATCGTTTAATGTTATTTCTTTTTCCGATGTTTTATTTTCCGATTGATCAATTAAACCTTCAAATTGCTTAAATTTTTCAGATAATAACAAACGAGTTTTACCTTTCGAATTAAAAATTAGAAAAAAAAAATTTATTATTTATTATTTTAATGAAGGATATGTTTATATCATTTTTATAAATAAGTTTCATTAAGGCTTATCATTATTTATTAAATAGTATATATATATATATATTATTTTATCATGAAAATTATGTCGAATTATAATTATTTATACGAATTTTACTTACCGACAACGGACCTTATACGACCTTGTGTATCTCTTGATATATTTTTATCAGAATTTACTTTTGTATGCCAAAAATCAGACAAATTATCTAAATTTTCACGTTCCGTTCGAAGGACATCTCGAAATTCTTCGTAACTATTCATTTTTTAAATAAAAAAAAAAAATTTTGTTTTTTTGAAATTTAATAAAGGCCAAAATGTGATTTTTACTTAACAATTTTTTTCAATTGAAGTCGTATAAATTTAAATAAATCAAAAAAAAAAGAAACAAAGTTTGAATTTTATTTTTGACGTGTCAGTAGAATAATTTTAAATTTACCTCAACGTAAAAGGCCGTTTTGACCGTTTAAATTAAATGGCGCGATAAATGGAAATGGTTAATCGTGGGTTTGTGTTATTAAAAGGGTTTATTTTAAATAAATAATAATCGTATTACAAAATGCAAGTTTATTATAATAAAAAAGTAAAAGTTTATGTTAAATTAAAATCTTTTATTATAAACATAGCACCCATTGACGTTTCCCAATATTTGTTCGATTAGTATTATAAACAACAAAAATATTATGTACAAGTGTATGTTAGTAATTTTTTTTTTACATTAAAGTCTTGATTGCATTCCACCAGCTATAACAATTGTTTCTCCAGTAATGTATGAGGCATCATTGGAACACAGAAAAGTAACAGTTCCAGCAATGTCATCTGGCTGAGCCAATTTATTCATTGGAATTTGTTGCAAAGCAATTTCTTTAGCTGGACCAGTTGATATCTGAAATTTTATTAAATTTTATTTTTATTTATTTAAAAATGTTATAAACCAAAAAATATTGTAAGCATACTAACTGCAGCTGAAAACTTTGTTTCTACAATTCCTGGAGCAATGCAATTGACTCTAATATTATCACAGGCTAAATCTTGGCTTGCAGCTTTCGTTAATCCCAAAAGAGCTGTTTTACTAACAGAATAAGCTCCTAAAAGCTGTGAAAATAATTTCAATCAAATAATTTTATTAATTTTAATAAAATAATAATGTAAATACTAATATACCTTAAAAGGTTGATAACCAGCAATTGAAGAAACGAAAACAATGGAACCTCCATTTCTTTTTTGCATGAGTGGAACAGCTTGTTTAGCGAGCAAATAAGCTGCCTTAACATTGATTTCAAAAATTTTATCCCACACTTTTTCCTCACACTTAAAGACAAAAATTAATAAGTAAAATACTTTTGTATTTTTTTTTTTTCAGTTATAATTATTTAAATAATAATTTTTTAATTACTTCTAAAACTGGACCAGTTTCAGGATTTACTGCAGCATTAGAAACTAATATATCAACTCCTCCGTAACATTCGACAGCAGTTTTAAATAATTCATTCCTTTGCTCTGCATTACCAACATGACAAACAACTCCAGTAACATTTTTTAAACCTTCACAATGAAGTTTCTCCACAGCAGACTCGACATTATTTTTTTTCCTACTGCTAATCACAACATTAGCTCCATTTACAGCTAAATTTTTGGCTATCGCAAATCCTATACTGTGAAAATATTTAAATTAATTTTAAAAAAAGACTGTCATTACTATCCATTTTATAATTTTTTTAACAATTACTACTTCTCACCCATCAGTTGATGCTGTTACAACTGCTACTTTTCCATCTAATTTTTTCGGATAAGTTGAAGCACAACAACTTTGAATAACATGACCACGATAATTATTAACTAATCTTGTCATTATTCTCAACATCTGAAAAAGTTTTGTAACTTTTAGTAAATTGAATAATGCATACATTTAATGATAATTTTTTTATGTTTTTGAATAATTATTTCTAAATATTCGTTTGCTTTATAGAATTATTTTAAAATAAAAGATTATGATAACTTACCGGATTTGTTATTAATATTACTTATTGAAAGTTTTTAAATGGTCATTTAAAAAACTTTTGAATTATTGTCAAACTCTTTGTTTGTTCGTAAAAGTAAATTCATAAATCATGAACAAAGCAATTAATTAAATTCGATTCCTTTCTTTTAAATAACGAATTAATAATTTAAGTGTAATATAAATTAAATCATTTTTTAAATTTTTAAGTAAATTAATAAAGTGTTACACACAATGATAAATATTTTTAAGTATCATTAGTAGGCCTAATATGAAGTTTTTGAAAGGTTTCGTGTCATCAGCTTTACGACAAGAACGACCAAAGTTCTACTGTCTGTGATTATTTTGTACAAAAAAAATCATGTTTATGGTTAAGTCCTTGACATTCTTCCGTAATTTTTATTATATAGTTATATTATTTAAACTCAATTTATAGAAATTATTTAAATTTTAAATAATATTTATCATTCGAGAAACGTGACGATGGTAGTCCACGAAGAAAGTGTCAAATCAGATAATGTTAAATTTAAACCGGAGGAAAATCAAAATGAAAACGAATTGGTTTTATACTGTTATCACCATTGTTTTCATTCTCAAAAAGTAATGAAAAATTTAATAAATGGTTTTTGCATTGCATATGATAAAAAAAATATAGTAATCGATTGTAATATTTTGAAATAATTTTTTTTAGGTACTCATGGCACTCTATGAAAAAAACTTATCTTTTACAATACATATTGTAGATGTGACAAAAAATGAACAGTATCAAAAATGGTTTTTAAACATTAATCCAAGGGGAACTATTCCTGTTTTAAAAGATGGAATTAAATACATTCCCAGTTCTAAAAGAATTCTCAATTATCTTGAGGATAATTTCAGTAATGGTAAATTTCGATTATTAGAAACGTTTAAAATTTTACTTTGTAGTACATGTAAAAGTAATAATTTGCAAAAAAAATTTTCAGGAGAACACAAGAGATTAATTCCCATTGACAAAGGTATGAAAACAAAACAGACTGTTGTAAATTTTCATGAAAAACTTTGTAGAATATCACCATTCATGGTCACTATTGGAAGCTTTATTAACAATAGATGGTCTCGTGATTTTAAATATCCTTATTCCATACCGACTGTGAGGCATTTAATTAAGGGTAAAAAAAACATTTTTATTAACAATGTCTCTTATAATTGTTAACAACCTCTTATAATTGTATTATGATAATTTAAAATTTATTATAGTTTCAACGCTTAAGAACTTTCAGACTATAAGAAAATATGCTTTTGAAAATCCACAATTCACTGAATCATTATTACAAAGAGCTCAAGAAGAAGAAAAGAAAAATTTTTGGGCTGTGAGTCATGACCAATATCTTGCTACCATAGACAGCATAGAAGATCTATTAAATGAGGCAGAGCTTGCATTAGTAGATAGAGAAAAAGGTAAATTAACATTAAAAAAACTCTCTCTTACAAACATTTAAAGGTATATTTTTAATAATAAAATGTGTTTATTATAATTTTAGATAAAGCTGATTGGTGGCTGTTTACAGATAGTTTCACTATCGCTGACATTTCTTTTATCATGCTCTTAGACAGATTATCTAGGCTAGGAATGGAAGCCAGCATGTGGACAAGAGGTGTCAGACCTCATATTGATATGTATTTTCAACGTGCTCAACAAAGGAAATCTTATAAAAAAACAATACCAACCATAAAGACTGATATCACATTTTTTTTAAAAACTAGGTCTCATTTAATCATAGGTTTTAGTTTGGTCACTGCCATAATTACTGGTCTTGTTGGGGGTTTTATTTTACTTAAAAATAAATAAAATTATTTTTAATAACTTATTTTATTATCAGGGAAATTTAGTTAAAGTTATAGCAAACTTTAATATTAATATAATTTATTAAAATTTTACTTTACGATTATACACACACGCAAACATAATATGAGCTTTATATGGGGTATGTATGACTTACGTATTTACATAATTTATTTATTTTTTTATTTAAATTTTTCAATTATGAAATGCTCAACATAAATTAATAATTTGAAAAACAAAAATATTTAACTTTTAATTAAAAAAGGAGACAGAAACTTAACTATTTAAAATTTAAGACCAAATTGTAAACCAGGAAGGCCTGCAGGATTCTAATGACCACCAATGCCAAGACTCATTGGTATGATTGCAAGATGTATATTTGTCTTCCATAAAAACAACGACATCATTTCCAATTAAAAGTTTTCCACCATAAGTGGAACTTTCCACCACACTTTTAGTTTTTCACCATAATTGACAATTTCCAAAGGTAAACATGTTGGAAAAAATGTGTTTATTTCCTAACCGAGAGATTATCAGTATAATCAAAACTCATATGTAATTAATTTCATGTTGTTCTTAATGATTTTCTATACTTTGCTCAAATTTAAACACAGAAATTTTTTTTAATTAATGAATTTTATAAATTTTTTTTTGTAAAAAAAAGTCAGTTGTAAGATTAGTTAGCGATGAGCTATTTTAATAAAAACCTCCAATTTTATTTTATATATATATTATTATATTGTATTCGATTCAGGGTTTTATTGTATTTTTTTTCTTCTTTTTTGACACAATGTATTTATAAAATTTAAATGAAAAAAAAAAAAAATTAAATCAAACATTTTTAAGAAAATATAAATATATATTTTAATAAAAATATAATACATTAATTTTATTATTTTATTATATAATAAAAAATAATATCAGATGCAAGTTCTTTCGTTAAATATATTCTTACATAACTTAAAAAAAATTAATATCGAGATACACTCAATATATCAGAACAACATAATTTTTTTAAGAGGTGTCATTTTTTATTTTAACACCAAAGGAAAAATTTAAACCAACATTTAATTTATGATTGCTTGTTCGTTTTTTCAATTAAAATGATACATGAAAACAAAGTTTTCGTAATAACAAAATAAGAATAATAATAAGAGGTTCATTATTAAAGTATACATAATAATAAATAAAAATGACAGAGATAAAATATTTTTTTATTATTTTATCACACACACACACACACACATGTGTATTTTTTGAAAAAATAAATAAATACAAAATAAATAATATATTAAAAAAATTTTATTACATAATTAATCACTCTTAATAAAATTGAATAATTTTTTGTAATAAATTTTTTTTTTTCGTAACGCTTTACAGAAAAATAGAAAAAAAAAAAAAAACAATATTATTTTTTAACAAAGAAAATAAAATATATATGTAAAAGAATCAACAAATAATATGGTAACAATTCTTGTCGAATGTATACACAAGAAAAATATAAATAAATGTATGAGAAGAAAAATATGAAAAAAAATAGATATATTTTAAATGAAAGTCATGGATTTGAATTAGTAATACTTTTATCCTGTATAATTATTATACATAGTATAATTTTAAATTTTTTAATATTTTGTCCGTCTTATTTTACTTAATGAAAAATAATCTCAGATAAAACCAAAAAAAAAAAATTTTCATATTCAGTAAAATACATAATAATAATAATAATAATATTCACAACCATTTTCATATGGATTTCTATGAGAATAATTTTATGAGAAAAAAAAAAAAACTAATTAAAAAAACTGAATTATCATTTTGATGTATGCACTGTTTGACCTGAAATAGTCGATATTTTAGGCTTTAAATTATTATTTACTTTTTCCTTTTGATATTTAAATGATCCTTCACCAGGAGATTTTGGAGGGATTTTTAATTTTGGATACCAGTATTTGTAAGTTATGTACCACATTGATATGGCAAAAATACCAGCTATTAATTTTTCTACCATAATGTGATAATACAGGATGGTCGTGATAACCATGAAATCCCATAAAAAAGTTAAAATTGTTAAAGCGACAAATAATCCTTTAACATATGCTGAGAAATTTTTGTAAGAAGCTTTCAATACTAAAAACTCCTCGTCATTTAATAATCTTAAATTACTATTAATATCAACTTCATTTGTGTATCTCATGTGTTCTTCATTTTGTATCATATTTCCAACTTGATTCCAACCGATAATAACTTTAGCTTCTTCCGTTATAACCAAGGCACTCCATATTAGTAAAAAGGCATGACCTGATATATCTAAACTGTACCACAGATAACCTTTTGATAGGCAATTTTTTTTACCACTCTTTAAACCTTCTTGTATAGAACATTTACCAAAATTTTCTTCGACAAAAGCAAAGGCCGATGTGAAAACGTACCAAATTCCAGTGGCCACAACCAATCGAGAAAGATGCATTAAAACTAACTTTCTTTTTCCACAACAATATGTGAAACTGGTTAAAAATACAAAAGGCGTTGTAAGCACCATCGTCCAAAACCATCCGATTTTCACAAAATAAAGATTAAATACGTTATGTGATCTCGAAAAGTATGTTTTTGGAAACGGTAAAAAATCAAATATAAATGAAAAAAATAAACCTCCTAAATATAAAGACACTTTGATATTAGAATTCATAAACAATATTTTACGAAAAATATCAATGAGCAATGTAAATAAAGCTTCTTTTATTGACACGGGATCGGGTAAAGGCCTAGAGCCTTTACCCTCCGGTTTTAAATTTTCCGACTGAATTTTGCTGCGAAAATTTAAAGAACTTGCACTATTTCGTTTGTATGTTGCCATGATTTGTAAATATTCCAAATATTTTTGCCAAAGTTCAGCGTTACCGTTTTCGTATCACGGTTGCCAACTTATCATAATTCTTAGCTTTAGCAAATTATCTGAGTGTCGAACAAAACTTTGGCGCGTTCGAGTCATATTTTTTGCGTCTATGTTTTATTTTTATTCTTATTTTATTATTATAATAATTAATATTATTTTTTGAAGTACACAAAATACGTAAAGTTTATTATTTATTCATTTCATTTCCTTTTTTTTTTATGAAATGCATTTGAAACGTCTTAAAAAGTTCTTTTTATTGGGTTGGCCAGTAAGTAACTACGGATTTTCCACCAATAGATTGTTTGAACATGTTTTTTACAGATATGAACTTTTGGTATCTTATTATTTGATTCCTTCTGTAATATTCAGTATCAAAATTTTATTGAACTTTTAATTTGGATGCGAGCAAAAGACACTTAAACATGCTGGGGAGCCAAAGCGAGCATTTCCTCCACATTTTACTTTTTTATTATTGAAAGGTTGTTAATGTTTCACAAGTTCATAAAAAGTTGTGGGTCGTGTAGGGTGATAAAGTCTTAATAGAACGGCAGTGTCAAAAGTGGTTTGCAAAATTCCGTTCTGGAGATTTTTTTTTGAAAAAAGAAGAGCACTCTGGATCCAGTGGAGGTCGATGATGATCAAATAAAGGCCATAATTGTTATTGATCGGCATAGTTCGACAAGGCACATTACAAAGAACCTAGATGTGTCACATACGTGCATCGAAAACCGTTTGCGGCGTCTTGGGTACCATAAGAAGCTTGATGCATAACTTTGGGGTGCCTTTTTTTTTTTTTTTATTTTAACTATTGATTTTCAGACGGCATTTCTTCTGACTACCCTCTTCTTGGCCGTCGTCTTCGTCTTCGCTTTTCCTTTTTCTTCTTTTTGTCCGGAGCATACGACGGCGAACTCCGGACTTTTCGCGCTCGCGTTCGTGGTCCTCTTTCACCCGCAGGACCGCTTCCGAAAATCGCGAAATCTCGGACCATTCTCGGGGTCCGCGAAGCAACGCATCCACGAGGCCGCGGGTCAACAGGTCAGGTCCGATGACTCCGACAAGCCGCTGCCTGTGTTCGTCCCACGTGGGACATTCCGCGACCGTGTGCTCGATGTCGTCCTCGAGCGCACCGCAGAACCAACATTCCGTCGTCTCCTCTCTGCCGATGCGCGCCAAGTACGAGCCGAACCCGTCAAGTTTCCGTGACCTCGCCCCACCCAGTCTCTCACTCGGGAGCCGAGAGCGTCAAGATTTTCCGTCGTTGAGCTACTCCTGCCACGTTCGGACCGTGCGATCGCGAAGTTCCCCGCGGAGTTGGGCTCCCCACGGCTTACCGCGACCACACTCGCGATAAAGGGCGAGTCTCTCCATCGCGAGGAGATCGAGCGGGGGAGTGCCCGACAGAAGACAAGCCACCTCCGCCGCGACGTCTCTGTACGCCGTCGCCACCTTGTTCAGAGAGGCCCTTTGGAGTTGGACCGCCTTCTCGCGAAGAGGCCGAGCTGCCAAAAACGACTCGGCCCAGACCGGAGCTCCGTACAGGGCCACGGAGTGAACGACCGTCGCGAATAATCACCTGGCCCGGGCCTGCGGACCGCGTAGGTTCGGCATCAGGCGTTCTAACGTCGCGCTGACGGCTCGGATCTTCGGTCCGAGGTGCGCCGAAACAGAGACCGGAGTCGAAAGCCAAACCTAAGTGTTTGAGAGTGCCCTTTAATCCGATTCTCACGTCGTCTACGCTTAACGAAATTTCACAAGGACGCGGGTTTCGCGGACGCTGAAATTCGCACGCTTCCGTTTTTGGCAGCGACGCCCGGAGTTCGATGTCCCGGATGGCCTCTACCGTCGCGTGAAGTCCCGTTTCGGCGCGTTCGAGAACCTCCGCCCACCCGCGACCGCTCGCGACGAGCAGTGTCGTCTGCGTAACAAGTCTTCCCTTCGGGAAGAATGGTCCGGGTGAGGACGCAATCGTAGGCGATGTCCCACAGGAGCGGTCCTAGAACCGATCCCTGAGGCACGTCGGAGAACACGTCCGCCCTTCCCCTCGTTCCATCCGGTTTCTCGTACGCGATCTTCCTCTCCGAGAGGAATGAACCGATGATCGATGTCAAATAGTCTGGCACGGATTTCGACGTCAGCGCGTCCCTTATCGCGGACCAAGGTACCGAATTGAACGCGTTTTTGATGTCGATGGAGACGGCTATCGCGACGACGCCCCGGCGAAGTGTGTCTCGGATTCCGGCGCACACGCGGTCGTCGAACGGCCCGTCCGGAAGCCGTACTGATTCGGAGAGAGGTCGTTCCTACCTCCCTCTGATCTTAAGTGTTCGTCTATTCTGGACGCGTTCACGCGCTCGAACAATATTGTCGAGAAGACAAATCGGCCGATACACGCTCGGCGTCGTCGGATCTCTTCCCGGTTTGTCGAGCAAAACTAATTTGGCTTCTTTCCACGGAGTCGGAAATGTCGCCTCTCGGAAGCACGCGGTGTAGAGCGCCGAGAGATGCGCACACAGCACTCCGGCGGACTCGCCGAGGATGCGGTAATGCGGATCCGGAGCCGAACGCCTCTTCGAGGCCGCGTCGAGAAAGAGCTCTGCGATCACTTCTGCGAAAAACTCCTCCGTCATGCCGGCCGTCAGCGGTCCCGACGGAACGGGAGACCCCACGGATCCGAATCCACTTCGCTCAGGAGTTCCTTCCAACACGCCTCCTTGGAATTCCATATCGCTCGTCGGACCCGAACCCGCGAAGCCCTCCACCTTTGAACGCGCGAGTTTGTCGTCGTTCACGATGTCCTCGTAGCGTCCTCCCCGTTTGATCAAAAGTCTTTCTCTGCCGACGAACTGGCGACGTGCGAGGCAGAACTCCTTCCACAACTCTCTCAACTCGTCCGTCCACCAGTACTTCGGCCGTATTCGTGTTGTCGAACACGAGCCGATCCTCTTCATGCAGGAGTCCGAGATCCGTCGTAAGTCGTCCCGAACTCCCCGCACCATATCGTGCACGCTTCTTCTTGCTCTTCTTCTTCTTGGAGCAACTTCGTCTCTCCAGGCCTCTGCGGCGAGACGCTCGATAAGCCGTTCGTTGTCGAACGATCTCAGGCTCCACCGGGGCGGGACGACGCGACGAGGAGACTGCCCCCCGAGCTCCGAGGAGCTCCGAACGAGAACGTCACGTAGTCGTGATCGCTCAGGGACTCGAAGTCGGAGAGGACCTCCCAGCCGGAGACCGTATGGTTTATTTACCTTAAATTAACCAATCACGAGTGAAAATGAAGGCGTAGAAAAAGATACAAAATTTTAATTTTTTTACAACAATTTTGAATGGTAAAATACGTTAAGATGTATCAGAAAAACATAAGAAAAAGGAGGTGTACATTTAAAATCAGGTGTATGGAGATTTTATATTTAATAAATCAATAAATAAATAAAAAATTGATTTTTAATGCATTTATTTATTATAAAGTTTAAGTTATAAATACTTTACAATTTATACTATATCAAATTTTTTTTCTTTTATTTTTTTTTTAATGCGTAATTTTTATTATTATTATTTAAAAAAAAATCAATAAATTAATAAAATAAATCTTCAGGAAAAATTATTTGCTTCGATCGATCGAATTACAATGGCATGGCTCCCAGTGCTCCCACGATGACCGGAATAGTTTCTGTTTTCCTGTTCCCCACATCCTGGCTATTTCAATTTCTAAATTTCTATATTTCAGCTTTTTGTCTGCTTCTTTGGCTGTCTTGTGTTTTTTTCTGCCGGCACGGATACTTCAATCAGTTTACACCACTTTAAACCTCTACGATGATCACTTCTTCTTCTTCTCTCCTGAGCTTCGAAAATCCGTCGCGTCGTCATCTCGGGCTTTTTGACGCTGTGGCGAGCGATTCGTTCGCGATGCGGACCCTCGCTTGCGAATCGCCCGTTGGAATCGAAAGCTTCCGGAGACGAGTCGATCTGTGGGGGGCTTTGGATCTTCCCGCGTTCTTTTTGCTTGCAATCCCATGTTTCCGAAGATCGAACGATGAATCCAGACATCCGTTCGCATCCCTGAAAAGAAAAAACATATGCCGGGGTCCACGTCGTCTACCCCGAGATTGGTAAGGAACAAGTCTGTTTAAGAATAAACATCCATTGCACCCGGCCTCCAAGTAGCTGGATTACAGAAGCACGCCACGACTCCCGGCCTCAATTATCTTCACCACCTACTACGTCTCCACCTCCTTCTCCTCCTGATCTATGCGCTAAAGAGATATCGCAGAGCGATTCTCTTCTATTTTCCCTGAAAGAAAAATGACTAAACTCCCGGTCATCCCGGCAGAATTAGTCCTTTTAAATAACACAAAATAGTTCACTAATTAACCTTGTCGCTAATGAGTGATTGTGAGATACCTAAAAAGGCAAATATGACGATGAGATAATGGAGTAAGAATATGTAAAATCCATTGCGTTATATACTAAAAGAGAGTGAGAATAAGAAAGATGTACCATAGTTTTTTTTTTTTGATATCTCAGGAGAAATGCAGATTACGCACAACCCCTCCTTTACAGAGAGAGTGTGGGGCTCGGTATGAAATTCGAAAAGAAGACCTAACCGGGAACCATACCCACTAAAACTCCTGAGCGCGTCGCAATAGCGTGGCTTATATGAAGAGGGGGGGGGACGTTCGTGGGAGTAAGACCTACATTTCAGTCAGTCCCCTCTCCGGGAAGCCAGAACGTTACCGTTCTACACGATTTTAAAGATGGGGAAATTCGCCCTAGTCTTCGTTCCGCCGTCACCTCGAAGACGAGAACGCATTTCCCAGGACGTTCGGCAAGTCCCTTTCGGGAGTGTCCTCCGGTCCTTCCCTGGGGGGGAAGGGATGGGAAACTCCCCTGTTTCCTGAGAATGCGATCGGGTGGGGGATAAAGACTTACCGGCGTCTCCTGAAAAGGGCAAAGTTAAAAGT